GCCTCCCTTGTTTACCTGTGACAAGACCAAACACAGACTTTTCCCCTTTTGCCTGAATTCACTGGCAAGGCAAGACACAGATCTTCTAACTCCCGTCTCTTTGTCATATGAATGATTAACTGAGATTAGAGCTGTTTATCTCCAAAAACTAGATAGAAACAAAGGTAAACATTTCCTATTTAACTGACTGAGACTTCCCCTGATTGGGAAACAAGCCCAGTTGTAAATCATTCCACCTATAACCTGCTTACTTTTCCCTATAAAAAGTCTAGGGCAAAACCACCCTGCTTACATACGCTGATCTACGGATATGGGTGATCTCCCTACTGCAACAGCCTAAGTAAAATCCGTCTTCTTAATTGTTTGGTTTTTGTCATTGACAATATTCACCAGTTACCTGCAATTTAAAGAGTTGACATATAGCACAGAGATAATGAAAGGATTGTTATACGAAAGCTGGGAACCATTACTATAGACAAGGCATAATTTCTCATTGAATTACCAATTTTTTTCTATAATTTCCACCCTTTTGATCAAAAATAATCGCAAAGGAAGATTATTTTTTATCACAAATAAGGCTGGTCTCTAACTTCACTAGTTATACAGGTGCAACAAGAGTGATAATTTGCCACTTAGGCCTTCTTAAACTTGCTTTGCTGAAAGTTTTCCCCCAAAACCTCAAATTTGACTTTTAAAAGCCTCTCGATGGGTGCCTGGGTGGCTCAGCTGGTTAAGCATCTGACTCTTGATCTCAACTCAGGTCTTGATCTCAGCTTAGGTCTTGATCTCAGGGTCATGAGTTCAAGCCCCACCGTGGGTTGTGTTGGGTGTGAAATAAGTAAATAAATAAATAAACCAAAACATAAAATAAAATAATTAAATAAAAGCCTCTTGAATCTAGGTACACCAAGAACTCAACACCAGATTTTAGCTACAGTACCCATTGGGTAAATTTGTCTCTTCTTAAATCTCCCCAAATATCCTAAGATTCCTGGGTCTGGCAAGAAAGTGACCTTACCCACCCAGAAGCTGGGAACCTTGTAAGCTAAGTACCAACCAATTTTCCTGGAAGGGTTTGTAAGCATTGGCTCCATAAAGTTAACCTAGCTCCTTAGATGTGTCTGGTCATATTTGATTAAAGGAGTGTTATTCCCAAATATAACACTCCAGGCGAGGCCTTGGTTGCATAAGCAGTGTTTCCAATTATGTCCTGGTAAAAAGGAGGACAGATTCTTACTGAATCTATGCCAATAACTATATTGTTATGAAAATGTGATAATTATATTGTCATGAAATTAAGATTATTTAATAAGAGTTTACAAATTCTAGAGGGCTCAGGGAAGGAGAAAAAGCTATCATTCACAAATGTTTCATTTTGGTGTACAAAAGCAGAGTCTAAAAAAAAGCAGAGTTATAATTATTAAATTGCTATGAGTTATAGACAGCTTAAGAGTTTAGAGTTTAAGATAGTTTAAGATAAGTTTAGATAACTTAAATATCCACAAAATAGAACATTACAAAAATATCAACAATAGTTTAAACAAAAACAGTATATCATCCCTCAACAATTCATCAGTCCTATGTAACTAATTCTTGCTTCAGTGAATCTTGGACTAGTGGTGTCATGAACTCATTGGCTTCTCTAGAGTTCTAGAAATCCTGACTGAGTCCACTAGTATGGTTTCAAAATTGTTTAAGCAATGCCATCAGAAACCTGTACTCCAAAGTATATGGGATAGTCCTTTTCCATAGAATTCTGAAACATTCCTTTGTTGAATATAAAGTACACTGGCCTGTAGTTGATTGAAAAACTTTCAGGGAAGCATCAAAGAAAAAAAAATATCTGCATATGACAGAAGATTTAAATGGTTTTAGTTAGCTTACTAGTTTATTATTGATAATTTTCAAAACTGAAAGAGCTTATAAGAATTCATTATAAGAATTATGTAAAATGATAAGGAAATTTGGTTGTTTCTACAGTATGCAAAACAATAAAGTCAATCAAAAAAAAAACCTTAGAAAAAACAATTATAAACATGATTAACTCTATTTTCAAAGAAGACAGTGAACATTCCATCTAATTTATAAAAATGGATGAACATGCTTTCAACAAAGAAAAAATAGTGAGACCTACCATATAATAATCCTAACTTTATATATCATGCATAGACCAAGCTTATTGTAAGAATATACCAAGAACATATCAAGGATGTCAAGTAAAGAGATTCAGTAAGTCTTCAGTAAGTCCTAAACATCTGTATAATAATTAAACTATCAGTGATCAGTGATCCCCAGTTGAAGCCCAGAAGATGCTAGATTCAAATTTAAGAAGTAAAAATGTGATGTCAATATTAAAAAGAAATAGTAACTGAAATTATGACCAAAGGCTCCAGCCACATGACCAAGAGATCTGCTGCCCTCTCCTGGAGGCCAATACCCCATGACTCAATTCTGGCTCAAAGGAAAACGGACACATGCAAAACTACTAGACTTACTTTTGCTTTTTTCTTCCTTTCTTCCTCTTAAATAATGATCCTAAATTCACATAAAATTTCTAAAAATACTACAAAGAGTGCCCGTGTACCCTTCACCAGGATTCCTCAATCATGGATATTTCCAAACCATTGAGAAACAGTTGCAGAACTGATGACTCCTTAGCCCTGAATATTTCAGTGCATATTTCCTAAAAACTAGGACACTCTCCCATACAACCACAGTATAACCATCATAATCAGAAAGTTAACATCAATCCAAGATTATCATCTAATCTATAAGCCCTATTTGAATTTTTCCTCTTGTTCCAATAATGTCTTATAAGGTGCAGTATTCAGCCCAGAAATAAACACTGCATTTAGCTTCAGTCTCCTTCAGTCTCCCTCAATCTAGAACAGTTTCTCAGTCTCTTTGTCTTTCATGATCTTGACATTTGTGAAAAGTACTGCCAGTTATTTTCTAGATTGCTCCTCAATTGTATTTGTCTAACATTTACTTACAATTTATGCATTTTTTGCAGGAATACCCCAGAAGTGATGCTGGGTTCTTCTCAGTGCATCAAGGGAAATACACAATGTCAATTTGTCCCTTTAGTGATGATATTAACTGTTAACTAGTAGTTAAACGAATCAGTTGACTAGTAGTTAATTAAATTAGTAGTTAATTAGTAACTAAAGATAATTATCAAGTATGGTATGTTTACTAATAAGTAATTAATAAGAGTTTTTCAGAAAGATGTTTTTAGACTATATAGTTATCCCATTCCTCACCATAATGATTCTTGTACGAATTACTTACTCAAGGATCTTTACCAAATCGTTATTTTCTATTTCCATAATTTCTTCTACATTTATTCACTGGCACTCTAATGTAAAGTAGAGCTTTATCTTTTATTTTACTCATTTATATCAGTACATATTCATGGGGGTGCCTGGGTGGCTCAGTCTGTTGAGCATCCAACTCCGTTTTGGCTTAGGTCATGATCTCATGGTCATGGGATCTAGTCCTGCCACCAGCTCCGTGCTGGGTATGGAGCTTGCTTGGGATTCTCTCTCTCCTGCTCCCTCTGCCCCTCCTCCCCCAAAATAAAAATAAATAAAAACTTTAAAAATACATACTCATGGACCATGTTATTCAAAAAATTAAATCCACTATTATTGATATTTATTTTGATGCTCAATTGCTTGAACTTACTCTAGACCAACAAAGAAGAAAGCAGTAGTTGACAATATGGCAGTGACAGGAATGTAGGGGAAATGTCCACTTCATTTGTCAATGCCCTTCTGCCAAAGACCACCAGAAACATACGTGTAGTTAAACAAGTTGGCCTTACTGCTCATTGCGACAAGGGAGAACACAAACCATAGATAACCATGGGGTATTTCAGTACAAGAGTATTAGAAGAACCTGTTCTAGGATTTGGTCTTCCCTTTGGGTGATTTAGGGAGAGCATAAAGAAGGAAGGATTTGGGGGCACCTGGATGGCTCAGTCGGTTGAGCGGCTGACTTTGGCTCAGGTCATGATCTCGCGGTCCATGGGTTCGAGCCCCGGGTTGGGCTCTGTGCTGACAGCTCAGAGCCTGGAGCCTGCTTCGGATTCTGCGTCTCCCTCTCTCTCTGACCCTCCCCCGTTCATGCTCTGTCTCAAAAATAAATAAACATTAAAAAAAATTTAAAAAAAGAAGGAAGGATTTGTTCAAAATTGAATGCTGTCAGAAATCAGGGGTATGATTAGATAAAAAGTAATAGTCATTCATTTAGCAAGAGGGGAAATATTTGGTATTTTGTGGTTTTACATAGTTATTTTTGTATGTGAATAGACAAAATTATGAAGTAGCCTTGTTTTGTCTCATTCTGTCACGGTCTCAGGATAATCACGTCTGAGGTTGGTATTCTGTAAGATTGTTTACAAATGAACAAAGGGCCTGTGAGTGTCAGATCACTTCTGGACATCAGAGGCTGCTTATTTCTTTCTCACAATGTGAAGAGTGGGGAGTGGGTGATTGTGCAGTGTCACACTCCAGCATTGTATTGGATTACCACAGTTCTTAATACAGCTTTCTACAGCCATATGCATCACTAACTTTATACCTTCTCTAAGTGGCAAAAATGAACATGTTTATATTGCCTCTTTATAGCATATAAAATAAGAAGAGAGGATGAAATGGATGAAGGGGGTCAAAAGGCAAAAACTTCCAGTTATAAAATAAATAAATCATGGGGATGTAATGTACAGCATGGTCACTACAGTTAGTAGTGAGTTCCTAAGAGAGTAGATCTTAAAAGTTCCCAGGAGAGTAGATCTTAAAAGTTCCCATCACAAGAAAAAAATTTGTAACTATATTTGGTAACGTGTTTTGTTTTATTTTATTATTTTTTTAAAGTTTATTTAAAACTCGCTCAGCAGACTGAGTCACCCAGGCACCCCTGTATGGTGACATGTTAACTAGACTTATGATGGTGATGATTTTGCAATATATCAAATATCAAATCATTTTGTTGTGCACCTGCAACTAATATAATATGTCAATTATATCTCAATAAAAGCAAAACAAACAAACAAACAGAAACAAATATATGGCTTACCTTAACAAATCAGGAGAGGAACTTACGAAGGGGTTTCAAGAGCCTAACCAGTAGCAGTACTGCCCAAACAGAGAAAGTATAGCTTTGTGATGAAGATCACATTCTTTGGAGCCAGACTACCCGGGTTCACCTTGCACCTCTGGGCTTCCTACTGGCTATGTGACCATGGGCAAGTTTCTTAGCAACCCTGAGCCTCTGTTTCCTGGAAGAGGAAACAGTTGGAAGACTAACTAAACAGTGGAAGACTAACAGTTGCAGTTTCATAAGGCTGTTTTGTGGATTAAATTAAATAATTCTCATAAATGATATGGAACCATGCACTCAATAAATGTTAGATATTATTACAAAACAAAAATGAAGAAGCAAAAATATGTAAACTCAAAATTATGTTTAGTAATCAGTGCTTGAGTTTAGAAATGATCTAAACATCCAATAAATATCCACTATCTCAGTTTAGTGTCAGTCCAAAGCTTTAGGTTACCTAACTACCTTACAAATCCTCTTCAAGCTGACATACTACAAAACACAGTTACTATTGAAATACAATTTTCAATAAACAAAATAATAAAATAATTACTGTCAGAATAATGAATCAATTTGGTTAAACACAAATCTATACTTTTCATAACCTTAAAAATTAAGTAGAAGTAATGCAACCTATTTGATGAGTAAATCTGCATGTATTTAGGAAGAACTTATCTAAATAGAATAAAAACATAAACTTATACTATACTTAAGATTGATAAATCAAAGGAAACATTGCTATTTTTATTTTTTTTTAAGTTTATTTATTTTGAGAGAGAAAGAGATAGAGAGTGAGCAGGGGAGGGGCAGAGTAAGAGGAGAGAGAAAATCCCAAGCGGGTTCCACACTGTTAGCACAGAGCCTGATGCAAAGCTTGAACCCACAAAACGTGAGATCATGACCCTAGCCGAAACCCAGAGACTGCTTAACCAACTGAGCCACCCAGGGACCCTACATTGCTCTTTTTATTAAGCCAAAGTTACTAAATCAGTCTCATTTGCCAAAAAACTACCTAAATCACGTGAACTTGAATTCCTAACAATTCTGTGTCAGAATTTCTGTAAGAATACTCTTTAAGTATAGCACATTGAAAGTATTACCAGTTCAACTCCCTGATTTTTTTAAGTAAGGAATATTCAGTTTATAATAAATGTTTGTTTATTTCTACAAGCCAATCAGGAGAGAAATCCTTAAAGAAACCTTATAATCAATTTAGTAATGCCATCTGGAGGTAGAAAATATTTCACTTTCACACAATGAGAAAACCTTCTGAACTACAGATGTAACAACAGACAAACAAGTGCAAATAGAACTTCGAGTTTAAATTTTAAAATTTCATCCATAGGTTAAGAGTAGACACAAAATTACAAAACTTCATGGTCCATATAAAAGACCTGTTCTATCCACAGCAGATATAAATTCTTCATTGATTTGAACTCAAAATAGGCAAACACAGGGGCGCCTGGGTGGCTCAGTCGGTTGGGCGGCCGACTTCGGCTCAGGTCATGATCTCGCAGTCTGTGAGTTCGAGCCCCGCGTCGCGCTCTGTGCTGACAGCTCAGAGCCTGGAGCCTGTTTCGGATTCTGTGTCTCCCTCTCTCTGACCCTCCCCCATTCATGCTCTGTCTCTCTATCTCAAAAATAAAACGTTAAAAAAAAATTTAAAAAAAAATAGGCAAACACACAAACAGAAAAGATTAACAAACTAGTCTCTGACATTTTTCACCCAACAGGAACAAGATATCTATAAACCATTAATCCATTTACAGAAATCATCAAATGGTCAGACCATAAAACCAAATTTCCAATTGGGAATAATTTACCAGCTAAAACAAATTGAAAACAAAATTAAAATTTGGAAAAACAGAGAGTCACAAAAATACTATTGACTCTTTGGATTTACTTCTGGAAGCCAAGAAAAGATGTGCCCAGATTTATGCCACCCGTGAGACTGATGAATGTTACCTGGCTCTGTAAGGTGAATCCCCTGGGCATCTTGGTGGAACTTCCAAAACTGATAAAAGATAACTTTGGAAAAAAGGAAAATCTTGAATTTCATACAGATATAAAAATGAACATGTGCTAAGATTTTTATTTTCCTTATATGAGGGAACCAAGCGGATGTTATAACTAGTTCAAAGGAAAAATCAAAAGAACACAAATTTATATGGAATAAAGTGGTGGTGAGATGAGTTGTAAGGAGAGACAAAATTAATTTTTCCACAAGGAGGAAGGAAGTTAGTTGCATTTTTACCAGACAGGACAAAATTCACCTATGTTTCAGCAATCTACAACTTTCAAGAGTGATAAAATTGCTGAAAGTCAAGAAACACAGCTAGAATCAGAGAGCCCTGAAGGGTGTGCTATATGTGATGCATAATTTTCCATTAAAACACAAAACTTTTTCAGTGTGCTTGGGTGGCTCAGTTGGTTAAATGGCCGACTTCACCTCAGGTCATGATCTCGCGGTTCAAGAGGTTGAGCCCCATGTCGGGCTCTGCACTGACAGCTCAGAGCCTGAAGCCTGCTTCGGATTCTGTGTCTCCTTCTCTCTCTGCCCCTTCCCCACTCATGCTCTGTCTCTCAAAAATAAATAAATAAATAAATAAATAAATAAATAAATAAATAAATAACATTTAAAAAATTTTAAAAAACACAAAACTTTTTCAACAGCTAATCTTTATTGCTTACTTTGTGCCAGGAATTGTGCTAAATGCATCACAAGCTTATCTCATTTAATCATCACACTAACTTGGAGAGGTAGGTACTATTTTTTTTTTTAATTTTTTGATGTTTATTTTTGAGAGAGCGTGTGAGAAGAAGAAAAGGAGGAGAGAGAGGGAGACACAGAATCCAAAGCAGGCTCCAGGCTCTGAGCTGTCAGCCCAGAGCCCAATGCGGGGCTTGAACTCATGAACTGTGAGGTCATGACCTGAGCCAAAGTCAGACGCTTAGCCGACTGAGCCACGCAGGTGCCCTGAGGTAGGTACTATTATTAAGAATATTTTGTACTTGCTCTGCCGGCATATATATTAAAACCGGAGGGGCACCTGGGTGTCTCAGTTGGTTGAACATCTGACTTTGGCTCAAGTCATAATCTCACAGTTTGTGGGTTCGAACCCTGCGTCAGGCTCTGTGCTGACAACCTGGAGCCTGCTTCAGATTCTGTGTCTCCCTCTCTCTCTGCCCCTCCCCCTGCTCACACACTCTCTCTCTCTCTCTCTCTCTCTCTCAAAAATGAATAAACATTAAAATTTTTTAAAAAAACTGGAATTATACAGAGAAGATTAGCCTGGCCCCTGAGCAAGAATATTTTGCAGACTGGGGGGCACCTATGTGGCTCACTCACTTATGTGTCCAACTCCTGATTTCAGCTCAGGTCTTGATCTCAGGATCTTGAGTTCAAGCCCTACATTGGTCTCTGGGTTGGAAATGAAGCCTACTTTAAAAAAAAAAAATTTTTTTTTTTTTGAAAGAGAATATTTTGCAGATTAGGAAACTGAGGCTAGAGGGTTTAAGGAAAGACCTTGTAGCTTTTAATTGCTTATATCTCTTTGGCTAAGAGCCACTTAAAAAAAAACACTTTATTGAGGTATTTTATATACCATAAAATTCACCTATTTCAAATGTACAATTCAGTGATTGTTAGTAAACTTCACCATAGTATAACCATTACTGTAAGTCCGCTTTAGAACATTTTCATCCAATAAAATGCCTCACATCCATTTACAGCTAATCCATGTTCCACACCCAGACCCAGAAAACCAATCTACTTTATGCATGTATAGATTTGCCTTTCCTAAACATTTCACATAAATGGAATGATACAGTATATAGTCTATTGTGTTTGGCTTCTTGAACTAAACACCGTGTTTTTGAGATTCATTCATGACGTTTGCATTTCTCTGATGACTATGGATGTTGAGCATCTTTTTTTATTTTTTTAAGCTTATTTATTTATTTTGAAAGAGAGAGAAAGTGTGAGTCAGGGAGGGGGAGAGAAAGAGAATCCCAAGCAGGCTCTGCACTGACAGTGTGGAGCCCAATGTGGGGCTCAACCTACAAACCTTGAGATCATTACCTGAGCAGAAGTTGGACGCTTAACTGACTGAGCCACCCAGGAGCCCCTTATGTACTTATTAGTCAGAAGTCCTTTTAAAAGAATGTGATTTTCTTAAGGGTACTGGCCATGCTTGCTCATGCTCCTGCTGGTTCTCTTGCCTTTTCCCTCACCCTCCACTGTGAGATACTTATAGCATCTCACTTAATGTTAGAATCACACACACACACACACACACACACACACACACACACACACAGGCACACACACATTATAGTAAACATATGAAAACTCACTCCTATCTAACATGTTATTTACATGAGAATGAAATCCTTGATCTAATTCTCTTGGGCAGATATGCTGTTGGAATTCAGAACTTCTCAGATTTTAGAATGAGAATACATTGCATGTACCATATATTACATAATTCTTCCACAGGGGCTTGGGACAGCATTCATAATCAAACACATCTCTATTTTTGCAGAAAAAAAATGTATGAATATTCACACTAAGAGGAATAAACATAGATCATAAACAGCTTCATATTAGTTCAGGTTATGTTGTGGTGCCAAATCAGTTCACCCCAAACTAACAAAAAAAAATTTATTTTATTTTCAGAACTTTCTGCATTCTAGAATTGTGGGTAAACACTTGGGGGCCTACTTATAACAACGTAAGAGTTCAATAGGCTACCAACAATGTTCATATTATTTGACATTTAACTAAATATTTATTAATTTTTATTTTTTCAATTTTCTTTTTATATTTTGGAGCCAATAACCTTTCCCCAAACCTCAACCATTTAATAGGCTGCTCGGAATCTCTTGGACTCTGTGCACTGTGCCCCCAGTGCTTTACAGATAAAATACTCCTGTACATTAATGCAAACAAGAGAAGAAGGAACTCAGAAACAAGAACACAAACAAAAGAGTAGCATGAACTTGTAAGAACAGTAAAGGAAAGCTAATGGCCAGAATAAGTGAGTGCTTGAGAATAATGCCAAAATGAGGATGGAGAACATCTACTCAGTACCTATGAAATGCCCAGCACTGAACTAACTTTTTTCAAACGCCATCTCTTTAAATCACCATCCAAAACCTATAAAGTGGATATTATTATCCCCACTTTGGAGATGAGATCAAATACTCAGAAATTAAACTTCTCCCAGAATGAAATAGTTGGCGTGTGATGGAGCCAGGATTTGAATCCATGTCTTCCAATTCTAAAGTCAATACTCTTCCCACCATAATGTCCTGATATATTCAGAATAGAATACATATAAAGAGAATGAGTCATCCTTGGGGAAGAGATTTTTATCTTTTCCATTAGGTAGGAAAATTAAGCCAATTGGAGATAAACATAAATGACCAAAAGAGTTGAATACCAACAAATGTAAGGAAGGAGAAGAGGCACCTGGGTGGCTCAGTTGAGCATCTGACTCTTGACTTCAGCCTGTGTCATGATCTCACAGTCTGTAGGATTGAGCCCCAAGTTGGGCTCTGTGCTGATGGTGTGGAGCCTGCTTGGGATTCTCTCTCTCCCTCTCTGCCCTTCCCCTCCTCACACACACACATACACACACACTCTCTCTCTCTCTCTCTCTCTCTCTCTCTCTCTCTCTCTCTCTCTCTCTCCCTCATTCTCTCAAAATAATTAAATAAACATTTTAAAAAAATTTAAGACACAGAGCACCTGGGTGGCTCAGTCAGTTAAGCCTCTAACTTTGGCTCAGGTCATGATCTCGTAGTTTGTGGGTTCAAGCCCCACATCAGGATCTGTGCTGACATCTCAGAGCCTGAAGCCTACTTCAGATTCTGTGTCTCCTTCTCTCTCTGCTCCTCCCCTGCTTGTGCTCTGTCTCTTTCTGTCTCTCAAAAATAAATAAGCATTTAAAAAATATTTTTAATAAAAAAAATTTAAGACACATTTAAAATTTAATTCTTACCTTTTTTTCCCCCAAATGAGATTTTTATCATTTGTCTTCTGACATCATTAGCAAGTAGACTGCAGACTGACATGTCTCTGAGCTGGCCATCCACTATTCCCTCTATCTCAGAGTACAAAATGTAGCCAAAGACTTGAGGCCAGGAAGGAATTGAAACACTAAGCCTGTGTCACATACTGGTATTGAGTCTGAATTTACACCATCCATACATATGATGTAAGATTTTTAAAAATTCAAACACACACACACACACACACACACACACACACACACACACAGTGACTAGACTTGGTTAAAATCTAAAGGCTATGGCAGAGGCAAATGACAATTTTCTTTGTAGGGAAAATTTGCGACCCAAGCACATGAAGCTCCCACTGAAGTAACCTCCTACTAAAGATGAGTTTCCAATCAAAAGAGTTAACAAATCATATAAGGAAATAAACCTCATGAGACAAAGTCAGCAAAATTGTTAGCATACCAAGAACTAGATGTAATAAAACAATCTGAAAGGAAACATAAAATAAATATATTCTGTCAAAAGAAATTCAGAGAGCTCTAGTTGATATACATATTATACTGAGCAAGGAACAAACTGAACAAACCACCAAAGTGGTTAAGAAACTCAACTCCCAGCAATTACAGCTCAGTTTATAAAGCATAAATGCAGAAGTGCATTTTCTATTGTGGATTGGTTACTAGAAACTTACATTCTCTTTTATTGCAAGTTTACTTTGTAGCTGATTAGCTATGAAGCTTCTTTTTTTTTTTAAGTAAGCTCTATGCCCAGTGTGGGGCTTGAACTCACCACCCCAAGATCAAGAGTTCCATGCTCCACCAACTGAGCCATCCGGCACCCCATGGCTAAGAGGCTTTAAGGTCATGCTGACATGAAGAAATCTTAACTTTTGTTTAAGGTCAGAGTAAGCATCTGGGGGAAGCAGGACAGTTTCAGGTTTTGGTTGCATGATTATGAGTTTTTGGTCTAGGAGTATATTCAAACTGTGGTCTCCATTTTGGTTTTCT